TAATGGATAAAAAAAATGGATGAATCAAGTTTTGGAGCAGTGCTTGAGGTGTACTATTAACTATCATCAAGATGATTGGACAACTCTTTTATTATTGGCAAAGTTTGCATGTAATAATTTGGTACATTTTTCTACTCAACAAATATCTTTCTTTGCCAACTATGATTATCATCCATGATTTGATATTTTTGACTTTTTAAAAGTTGATAATCCTACCATGAAAGATTTGGCAAATTATTTATAAGAGCTACATGCAACAATGAAGGTGCAATTATTGTGAGCTCAAAAATAACAAATGAATAATATAGATGCCTATCACAAGGAATAACCACAATTCAATGTAGGTGACAAGGTATAGCTACTTTATCATAATATCAAGACTACTTGTTTTTGTGACTAGTTAGACTACTATAGGCTTTGACCTTTTCCTATTACTAAACAAATCAATTATATTGCTTATTGATTATATGTACTGGAGTCTATGAAGATCCACCTCGTATTTCACATATCTCTTCTTGACCCATATAAGATAGTGAATATCTCAAGAAGAAGATGAATGCCACTTCTTCCTATAGAAGTAGATAATAATCAAAAGTTCAAAGTGGAAGAAGTCTTAGATTCAAGGTGACACTGAAATAGGTTAGAATATCTTATTTATTAGCATGGATATGATATTAATAACATACATGGAAGCGAGTAAAGAATCATGCAAATGCAACAAAGAGAGTTAAAACTTTTTATGGAAAACATCCATCAAAATCAAGATGAAGAATAGTAAATCTTTGCTATAAAAGAAATAAGATCAAAGAAAGATAAAATTATATCTTCTATCTTTTTTCGTAGCTTCTAAGTATTTATGACGCTAAGGAGATGAAAAACCAACAATCAACAGATTCAACTCAAGAGCTTTCATATGCAAACTTACAAAATAAGAAATTGTAATTGTCACAACCTTCAAGATCAAAAAATCAAGATGAAGATCCTTAAGAAAAACATGTTTTTTCTCAAATAGATGGCAAGATACAACATATTTGGTATCATAACTTTAGAAGAGAATTGTAATGTTTGATAATTTTATTAGAGGTAGGAACAACTTCTGATAGCATTTCAAATATTTTAATTTGAAAGAAGTTACAAAAGCTTCAACAATAATCAAGTAATAGAGTGGTCTTCTTGCCTTAGTATGAGACAGTATCAATGGCTAAGACGACCTATCAACCATCTTCAAAGAAAACAAAGATCATAATATGTGATAAATATAATTCATTGCATCTTAGATTTCTTCAACATATGAAGACCGCTCTTTATGGAATTCATCCCTAAAAGGAGATATAATATCATGGATATATATAGATATTCTAATAAATACCTATATGATTAAATAGGAATAGGTAAAAGAAGATAAAAGTAGGTTAATTTCATAAGATCTTTTAGAAAAGCTTCTTAAAAGCTTCATAGACATTGCTTTGACTTTAAATGTATTTGTAATCAATTAGTAGGTTAGAAACTTGATCAGCAAGTTAACCATGTGTTGGTACCTTGCAGAACAAGCTAACTATGAGGCGGACATATAGAAAACTTACTTTACAAGTTAAGATACGTATCTTATAAAGTTAATACATTTTTGAGGTCCTATAAGAAATCACTACAAAGCTCATAGTTAAGAGTATATATGGAGGCAAGAGTGAAGTCTTTTTCACTCTTGTCAATGCCTTTCTAGTCTTTAGTCTTGTTTCATGACTTTTTAGTTTTCTTGTTTTTGGCGATAGCCATTTTAATTCAATATTATATCATCATTGAGTGACTTTCTAGTTCCTTTCAGTGATATAAGAGTATATTGACGATTTTCTTTCTTTGAGATTTATGTTCTTAATATATTGATGATTTAAATAAATATGCTATAAAAAATTTTTAAAAAAAATTATATACTTATTATAAAGTAAATATAAAGTTAAAGATGATATCAACAATAATAATTAAGATCCAATCAAGTATTTGAATAGCTTAAGTCCATATAAATTGCTACTATTTAATTTTGAGCTAAAGATCAAATATCCAATTTTGTTATTACAAACATTGCTTTGTGCCAAGGACTTTATAATGTATTATGCTTTGTCATTATACAACTAAGTGATTGAGTTAAAGAAGCAAGTCTATTATTTGGAGACTATAAGAGATAATTGACTTTTCTTTTAAAGATCATATTATGTCTATTATTTGCAAAGATTTAATTCAAGTTGCAACAAAGGTAGTTTCTAATAAAGGTGGAATTTGTAATGACCATTGAAAAATATCAAAGACAATTGTTGAAAAATATAGAAAGAGATCTTAGAACCATTGTATTTATATATAGGTAATTATATGTTTTCTTTTTATGATGTATTTTTTTTAATATGATGAAGATCTTATATCCTAAAAATAATAATAATAATAAAAATATTATTATAATTATAATTTATGCCAAAGTTATTTTAATTTAATTATTTAAGTTGTTATAGTAAATAAAAATTTTGTTTATTAATTATGTTGAAGAAAAATTAATGGTTCTATTATTATGCATATAATTTTTTGTAATTAATATTTCTTTAAGAGTGGTCAATTTTTGATTTAGCAATTACAAGTTAAATTTTTATAAATTTTTTATAGCCAATGGCATGGTTTATATATATATATATATATATATATATATAATTGATATTTTTTGTAAAACATTTATAAAAGCAAAAAGAGGTTAACTTTTATATATTCATCATAAATCCATTCATTGTTAAAATATTATGTACAAAGTTTTTTAACAAATTATTTTTAAAAATAAGAGATAATATTTGAAAAATTATTATATGTGCCAATTTTTATACTTATTAATTTTTGATCTAATTAGACCTTTCACACAAGTATAGATTACAAATTGGAGATAACCAATTGATATAGAATTACTTGTAGTTGTAGTATTAATAAGTCTAGAATTTTGTATAAATATTTATAGTGTAGCTTCTTATTATTGTATTAATAAAGGTACATTGAACTCATATACTTTACTTATTCTAAATTCATTTTATTGAGAGAGAAGTTATTTGTAAAGCATGGTCATGGAGGCAAAGTCCTCAAGAACAGTCCCCTCTAAAGCATGGACTTAGTTGGTTGCCATGTAAGATGGCTCCATTCAATGCATGCACTGCACACAACCACATGTGATTATTCATTTGTCTCTTGGATGATATAACCCATTAGTGTTTGTTTCATCCATCTCATTAAGGATTTTAAACACACCACACATCCTTGCCCCTCCCCCCCTCCATGTTCTTTTTCCTTTGCCCTTGTCATGAAACCCTCACAGCATGTGCTCTCTCAAATCTGCACTTATATACACAAAGTGACATTGCCCACTTCTTTTCCCCTCAAAGTAACTCTACTCCTATTCCCTCCCTCACCCCCTCTCTCATACCAAATCATTGCTTCACAAGTTTTGTAATTATCAAACAAGGTACAGATGTTCTTGTTGTTTGAAGATATTATGAAAATTTATACTTAAAATGGAAAACAAGATAAGTAACATAAAAATAGAAACAACAACAATATAACAAAGGTTGAGTTGTGTTTATACATACACATATACAGACATGTATACAGATGTGTAACATGGGAGATGGATGGATGAGCAGGGGTGTGTGTTCACAAGGAATGTTGACAAGGCCATCTTGATGAGCAATGCCATGGAGTGTGGAACTGTCCAGATCAATGCTGCCCCTGGCAGGGGCCCTGACCACTTCCCCTTTCAAGTATAAGAACTTATAAGTGTGTTGATGTGTATTTGCTTACACATATACACATCAACACACTTAGAAGTTCCTTTTCTTTCCTACTTCTTTCTATATTTGTACTCTTATCACCTCTAATGTAATAATATCACATGAAAAATAAATGTAAATGAATAGATAAGTAAATACAACACAACAACAACAATCAATCAAAACCGTAGAATTAAACAAAGTAGGAAATTGAAGAAGATGTAGAATGTCAATGTTGGTTGAAAGCATTGTTGTGGTGGTAGTGGTGATCGGTGTTTGTGTGGTGTTGTTGTTATCATAGGGGTTGAGGGACAGTGGTATTGGGTCTCAAGGCATCACCAACAGTATCAACACAATGATCCAAAACCTAAAGCGCTCTCATCAACCTCCCTGTTGAATCCTATACCATGGAATGAATTGAAGGAAGTTGAGAAAAATAAAAATACCAAAAAAATCCAAAACAAAAACAAAACCATGTGGCATAACTCATAGCTCCAGTTAAGCAGCATTTGTTTGCCAATATTTTGGCCTTTCCACTCTGTTCCTGACTAAAGGGTATGGCCAGAGAGTTCATGCCCTTTCACATTTTTATTTGATTTTAATTTTGATTAACTTTGTTGGCCAAGCCCTTGTGGACAAAAGCCAAAAGTCTTTGTGTTCATACCTAGTTTAGACCAATAGTGAATTTTTTTTCTACCAAATGGAATGGTCAATATAGACCATCTGTACTTTGTAGTGAATTAAAAAAGATGGGCAGTAAGGTTCACCCAGTATGACTGTACTCAAATTCCTGATTCTTCACCCATTTTGGAGCTTTATAGCTACATCAAGTTCAATTTTACTGTAGCTTCTACAGCAGTGGAATGAAATAGATGTATCATTATTACACTTTTAAATGACTTACAACAACAACAGCAATAATTATAATAATCACTACAATTATTCTTTTTGTCATAAAAATAAATCTTAGTGTCAAGTTTAACATAGTACAAATTAGCAGTGAAATGTAGACATATAAGTTGAAGATGATTTTCCTATGCAGTCACAAAATCGAATTCTAGAACGACCAATCGTGAGTGCAATTTGAACAGAATGAATCCACAGAACTCAGTCTTTCTCGAACCTTAAAGAGATGATTCACATTTTCAGTAATCTCTCACATTTGAGAAGTTAAAGTTCTGAAGGCTAACCAGTCCAATCCCCGGAGATCGATTAGGCAGATCGATTAGACTTAAACATAGACGAAAATGGATCAGCCTTGTAAGAGTTGAAATCACGGTCAATTCGAAATCCACTGCTGGATAAAGATGTCGCGTTATCTGAAATCGAGAGGACAGTGTAGGTGCAGGGTAATGTAGTTGCATTGCCGTGTTTTACAAATGCAGGGGTGGACATGTGTGTACGCAGATCGCAGTTGAAAAGCCTTCACAGAGGACATCCTCAAGCCTTAGTTCCAGCCAGTTTCATGTGGAAATGGTTTTGATTCTTTCTCTCGGGCTTGTATTACCAGAAGCTCTGTAATGGCTTTTGTGGAGTATTCACGGGGATTTTGCTATATGCTGTGGGGAACTGTGCAATGCAATTGGGTGCCAGTATGAACCGCTCCCGGAATTGCGCTTTGTGACTTTCGCCAGCCCTGGTGGTGAGTGGACCAGGTCATCGACGCAATAATATTGAGAGAAGATGTTTTTGTTGAATTGTAGCTGTTTAACCTTTGAGATTCGAAAGTTTGCCTCTTAGATGACATAACCTATCAGTGTTCGTTTCAGCTGTTCCGTCGAGAGTTTCAGGCACTCCACACATCCTCGCCCCCTCTTCCCCTGTTCACTTCCCTTCGCCCTCGTCGCGAAACCCTCGCAGCCGTGTGCTCTCTCTTCGCCTCGAATTGCTCGAACCTGCGCTTACATACACGCCGTGACATCGCTGTGCCGCATGCAAGCATCGTGAGAGCGAGGAGCTGCTGATGGTTGGTAGGTAATCCTGTGGTTATCTCTTTTTTTGGTTCCGAGATTGTTACGATGGCTTTCTATGTTTCGAATACAGTGCTCGGGGTGATGCTCGGAAGCCAGACAATAGGCTTGATCATCGGCACAATCAAATTGCATAAGCTCATGCTTGTTGTATCCTATACAAGTGCGTTAACAATCAAATGGTTTTGGGTTTTTATGAAGATTGCATTTTGTAGGGACTGTAACTTATGATGTCAATCTAGCTGAAGTTCGAATCATTTGCAAGGGACTTGGGCTGTATTGCATTGTTGCGTTGATGTGTACTTAGTTTTTGTTTCTTTGTTTGTTCTTTTTGAAATTTCGGCTTCAGGGATGAAGATTGGCAAGATAATGGCGGCGCATTGAACACCATATCACAATTGTATCCTCGCTTGCCTTATGTGCATTCGAATTGCGAGTTAGGAGCCAATCTGAATGATTTAAAGGACGGAAGAGTTCTTCAATTTGGAATATGGCAAGAACATCTTCAAACTTGTTCGTCAACAAAGATTCTTAGTCCATTTTTGACGATTGAACTTGTTTGACTCACAGTTGCAAACTCTGTGTCATATATCTTGAAAGACTCAATTTTCTCAACAGAAGATCTAACCTGGAACTATTTCACAGCAGGTACCACTCAACTTTAGTCGCGGATTACATCTACTTTATGATCAATCTTGGAAGAGCTGGTGTTCATTTTGATGTACTGTATGACAACATATTTCTACGGTGTAGAAAGCAAATTGAACCCTCATCAAAATCTTCTTGAGTTATATTATTTTTCGTCACCAGACATGCGCAGTGGAAGGTCGTAAACTCGAATGTAGTATGCATTGAAAATGTTCCTCGTGTAGGTAAATCACAGTCCTGTCATGCTATTCATATATTGATTTATCCTTGCGTAGGGATTTCTCGCGCCATTTACTTTGTTTAGGTTGATTAGCACTCGGTAAGACATTCAAATTTTAATTTATTTGATGGAACTCCTATTATTATCTGCATAGTAGAAGCGTCATCGTTTCTTACTTTTTATTAGAAATTTAATTCATGGCAAGCTTGCAGCCATTTGTTGTTGAGCGTGAACTTTCCACAGATTGATTGCCTTAATTGTGTCATTGGTATAATGAGTGATTAAGGAAACACAAAGGATTGGAAAAATAAGCTAAATAAGAGGAGATTACAATTTTAACAGAGTAGTTTAATAATATATCACATTCATAAAAATAATTTCAACAGTTGGTGTTACAAGATAATTGTTGAAAGATGTGTGATGTTATGAGAAAATATTCTAGTTTAATGGTTATCAAAGATATGAATCAATTTTGTTTGTATGAAACATGTTTAAGGATTGACATATAAATTAGTTTTGTTAACATTTATATTGTCTTTGTGTGAAGGTTTTGCTGTAATCAAACATTTTAAGAATCTATGGTTACTTAAGTAAACAAAAGAGTATATTCAAGAATCAAATGTTAGTTATTTTTTAAGGTATGAACATCAATCATAATGATTTTGTATAGATGATGAAACATTTGAAATGAATTCTTATGTATTATTTTATTTGTTTGTATGAATATTTATTATACACAAAACAATGAGAGATGATAAAAAGTCATTAAAAGAATCACAAATGTCATTTAAGTTTCATTTTGTTCATACAAAGTATATTAGTAACAATTTTGTTAGCTTGAAGACTTTTTTAGTTGATCAAAATTTATTGAAATATTATAAAATGTGCAATAAGATTTTATTCATGTGATTGAAGGCAAATTATACATATTATTCAAATATTTACCATGGCCTATCTTGTGAAGTTATTTATGAAGTATGTTTTAATAATATGGAGGTTTTTATTTGTTTGTTGTACATTGGAAATTGCAATTGTTATAGAATTTTGTAAGAAGTTTGTGAAGGATATTGGAGTTATATTCAAAGTAAGAAAAATTGAGGTATTACTAAAGATTAAAATCTTTTTGAATAGAAAGCAATGTACAAGTATTTGCAAACTACTTGGCTATATTATTAAAGTATTTGAAGGCTTGAGCGCTTGTAGCAATGGAAGTAGTGAGTATAAAATTTTATTTTGTGAATTTCAATATACAACATTGAAGATATACATGTGGATAAAAGATTGTGCATAAGACTGTTGGTGTGAAGTAAGTATCTTTCAAATGAAAAATAAGAAAATATTTAGAGAGTTATTGTAGGACTTGAAGGCTTGTTACAATGTAGGAATTAATCTTCTATTAAAAGAGTACCCAAAAAAGTTGAAGGACATTACACCAATATTATTTGATGTTTCTACTTATGAAAAAGTTAAACATGATGGTAAAGAACTTCATCAAAGATTGGATTATATTAGTAAAGATGTGCAATTTAAAGATCATAGATTGGCAAACTACATAATAGTATTACTAAAAGACTTGTAGCATATAGAAGGTGGAAAATTGGATTCTTTGGAAGTATCAAGTGATATCAAAAGTTTAGAACTTGTGAAAAAAATAAATGAGGGTTCTTATGGAGAAGTCCATAAATCAAAGTGGTTTGGACTTTCAAGTGCAACGAAAATAATAGATGTTAAATTTAATGCAATGTTCATGCAAGAAGTGAATATATTAGCTAGTACAAGCCATCCAAACTTAATTAAATATTATTGTGTTGCAAAAAGTAATGCAAATGAGAATGGAGAGTTTTCAATAATGAATATTTCAAGGAGAAAATTATACTTAGTGATGAAGTTGATCCAAAGCAGTTTGAGCAACATATTGAAGGTAAAAAGATCAATGCCATATTATTTTTTTATTAATATAATTTATCAAATTACAAGAGGGATGTATTATTTGCATGACATATGAATTGTACATTGAGGTTTAAAGCCAAATAATATATTACTCAATATTATAGATGATAATAAATCTAATAATGGTTTTCAATATGCTATTGTGAAGTTGATTGGTTTTGGTTGTTTAAAGATCAATGTATGAAGAAATCCAAAAGTTAACAAAAATAAATACATATATAGAACTTTAAGATACATGGCTCCAAAGATATTAAAATGTATAATAGAATCAATAAAGATATGCTTTTGAAGCAAATATATATTCTTTTCTAATAACATATTTTAAGATTCTTTCAAGAAATGATCTATTTGATGGTATAAACAAAATAAGAGTTTTTTCAAAAAAAATTGAAAAAGGTGAAAGATCAAAGTTACCTTCAAATTGTGATGATCTTAGTAAATTGATTAAAAAATATTGGATTTTGGATCCTTCACAAAGACCAAGTTTTCCAAATATTTTTAAGAGATTTGTAATATTAAAGAAAAAAAAATACTTGGTGGAAATTGATATAGCCAAAATATCTTTTTTTGGAGCATTTAAGAAAGATCATTAAAAGAATAAATCAAAAGATAAGCATGTTGATGTTATATTGGTATATATATATATTTGATGTATATATTAATCGATTTATTTGATTTCAAGATCTATATATTCAAATATATATTCTTTAAAGATATTATTTTGTTTAATTTTAATATGTGATTACATTGTTTAGTTAGAAACTATGATATAAATTGTATCTTTTATTAACATCACGATTTGATTATTTAAATAAGGACATGATTATGAAGATAAATTAATGGGTATAGAACAACGTTTGTCAAATATTAAACAACTTTGCAAGGAAGGAATAAATGTATTATGTTTTGTTAGTATGGGTAGAATTGAAAATACCACATTGGCAAAGACTATATTTGATAACATGTAACACATGTATAATGCATCATGTTTTGTTGAAAGTATTCAAAATAAAGATGATGGTTTTTTAATAATTTGTAAAGTTTTGGATCAACTAAATTTTCAATGAAAATGAAAGGATTTAGAAGAAGCACAACCTATGATAAAAAAATTATTGATGAGCGAAAAATTCATGTTAATCTTGGATGATGTAAAGAATAAGAGTCTTATTAATGATGTAGTACTTACAGAGGTTCTACATTCTAACAAAGGTAGCATATTACTTGTAACAACATAAAATTGGAAGGTAGTAAAAGACTACTCTATAAAGATTTATAAATTTAATATTGAAGAACTTGATAAAGATGCAAGTTCAAAGTTGTTTACAACTTATTCTTATAGAGATGATGATAAATTGCCTAAAGAACTTATTGAAGTTGGCAAAAAAATTGTAAGTTCTTGCAATGGACTAGCTTTGAGTTTGAAAGTTAAGGGTTCATTTTTAGGAGAAAAAAAGAGATTAAGATGTTGAAAAAGAGCTTTGCAAAAGCTAAAGAGAGGAAGAGATTTAGATGAAGATGAAGAAGATAGTAATCATAAGCTATGGATTATTTTGAAGATGAGTTTTGATGTCTTAAAAGTTGAAGCAAAGTGTATATTTGTATACACACATTTTTTTTTTTTTTTTTTTTTTTGTAATAATATGATTTGGCGTGGTACAATGAAAGAAAATATATTACAAATAAGGACCAATTAAAAAAACAGAGGTAAAAAATAAGATGCAAGTATTGTTTTAGATATATTGATTTATAATCAATGATAAAAATGGATAAAATAGAAAAAAATAGAATAATAAAAGTACATGATTAATTATAAGATATAAATCAGAGCATTATTGAAAAAGAAAAAGAATATAATGACACACAAATTTGGAATGTAAATTTGGCACCAATATATGAATTAACAATAAAGGTAATACTTTCAAATAGTGATAGAATAATTTAAATAAAATTATTGATATAAAATAAATGCACAAAATAAATACATAAAATAAATTGTAAGATATTTTAATATCTCTAATAAATAATTTTATATTTTTGTTTGTTACAATGTAAAATACTTTGAAATTTGTCTATGTTTTAAGTATTTGATAATAATATGGATTATATTTTTTAAGTATTATTTTGTTATGTTTTTGATTAATTGAAAGATTATATATTTGATAATAATATAAAGAATATTCTATAAAGGTTCATCATCAAAGGATTACATTTTTATTCCTTACAAATACTTATATGTAACCTTGATAGAAGTCAAGTGAAGATATATGTATTGAGTAAATAATACAAAAAACTTAAATTTTTTGTTATTTAGAAATTCCTTTTATTATGGTATTTATAATAAATTCAAGCTACCTTCTATAATATCTAATTAATATTTTTAAAAAGTATTTGAATAACTAACAATATTGATTCTAGAAGGAATTAGATTAGATAAAATACTACCAATAATACTATTTAAAATCAATATATTATTGAGACTAGATTTACTTAGGTTTAATAAATTCAAAGTATTACCAAAAGCCATTAAAAATCTTAAATCTGTAATAAACTTGAATTTAAAATATAACACAAAATTAAATACAATGTCACATGAATTGAAAAACTTAATTTCTTTAAAAATACTTGATATGAGTAATTGTTTTAGCTTGACAAGTTTACTATATAAATTGACAAATATTTCTTCTTCATCAAGACTAAATTTAAATTATTGCTCAAGCTTAGAAAGCTTGTCAAATAAATTGGCATATCCTTCTTCTTTAATAATACTTGATTTGAGTAGTTGCTTAAGTTTGACAACCTTTCCAAATTAATTGGTAAATCTCTCTTCTTTAATAATATGTAATTTCAATAGTTGCTTTAGCTTGATAAGCTTGCCAAATAAAATAGAAAAACTTTCCTCTTTAATAACACTTAGGATTAGTGATTGTTCAAAATTGATAAGCTTATTAAGTCAATTGGCAAATGAGTCATTTTTGATAATATTTGATTTGAGTGGTTTGTCAAGCTTTAAAAGCTATTTAAATGAATTAAAAAATCTTTCTTCTTAGACAATACTTTATGTGAATTATTGCTTAAGATTGATAAGCTTGTCAAGTGAATTGATAAATCTTTCCTCTTTGATAAAATTTGATTTGAAAAATTGCTCAAACATTATAAGCTTATTAAATCAATTGACAAATCTTTCTTCTTTGTTAATACTTAATTTGGAAGTAGATTGAGCTTGCTAAGAATGCCACATAATAAACAAATCTTTCTTCTTTGTTAATACTTAATTTGGAAGTAGATTGAGCTTGCTAAGAATTCCACATAATAAACAAATCTTTCTTCCCTCTCCACACTATATCAAAGATATGAACTAAAAGAAGATGTATAAACTTGAAAAATCTATATTAAAAGAAAAGTGACAAAATAACAATAAAGTGGTATGTATATTAAAAAGAAACCAGAATGGCTATTGCCAAAAGACAAAGAAATTAGAGACTCTTAAATCTAAACTAGAAGCAAGAAAGGAGTTGACAAGAGTGAAGAGGGCTTCACTCTTGCCTTTATATATACTATCTAACTAGGTTCTACATGGCAATGTTCTATAGGACCTCTAATATGTGTTGACTTTGCAAGACACATGCCTTGGCTTACAAGGCAAGTTTTCTATATGTGAGCAACATAATTAACTTGTTCTTCAAGCTACCAACATGTGTGGCACATGGCCAACTTGTTGACCATGTTTATAACCTAAAAAATCAATTAAAGATACATATAAAATCAAAGCAACATCTATGAAGCTTTTAGGAAGCTTCCATAGAAGATATTATAGAATTTACATATTTTTACCTACTATTATGTAAATCATATACGTAATTATTGATTTACATGTATATGTCCGTGACATTACTTTTCCTTTTAGGGGCAAGTTCCATGAAGAGCGGTCTTCATATGTTGAAGAAATCTAAGATGCAGCAAATTATATTTGCCACATATTT